AGCGACAGCCCGGGGTCCCACCCCGCCGCGGCCCGGCCGGGCCGGGAGGCTGCGGGCACGGCCGGAGCCTCCGCCTCCGCCTCCTCGGGGACGTGACGTGAGGGGTCCCGGGGCCGCGCCGCCCGCCCGCCTCGGCCGGAGAGCCCGGGGACAGCCGGAGCCCCTCTGCAAGCCCGTCGGGATCTCCGCCTGGGTGACGGCTCCCCACACCCCTTCCTCGTTTACAAACAGAGGACAAGGAGACCTGGGACTGCGAGCACCCTAGGAGAGGAAAAAAAAAAAAGAAAATAGAAAAAAAAAAATTTTAAAAAAAAAATCCTGGCATTGCGTAATCCCCCGATGCAGGATGGCCCTGGTTATTAAATACCACAAGGCGCTTGTCACAGTTCAGCTCCTCCTGTAATGAAACACCAGGTATAGCAAGAGCTCGCAGGAGAAACGAGGAGGGGGATCTTGGAAGAGGAGTATTTTTCTTGGTGGGTGGAGGGGAGGTGGGTGCCGGGGTTAACCGAGTGGCGTTCCCTGCTGACAGCAAATTGACTCCGAGGTGATTTGGTCTTTCTTTGAAATATTGACACACTTCCACTTCCAACGTTTTGAGCTGTGCTTGCCTTTGTGGCCAGAGCAGATAAATCCGTGTGTGAGAGACACCGGGAGAGCGAGAGAGAGAGAGGGAGGGAGGGGGGAAGAGACATTTAGGTCCAAGTGCCGGATTAAAAAGAATACTGTCTTTAAAGGTCAAGGGTTTGAAGGGTCAGTCTGCTCCTCTAAAAAAAACAATTAATGGGATAGAAAATTTGTCCTCTCGGTGAACTCCTGGTTGCCTTAGCAAAGGGAGCACAATGCGAGAATTTAAACAGGACGATGTAATTTTTGAAGTTATTGTAAAGATGGGAGGTATTGGACGGGGAGCAGAGGGCTCCCAGCCCGGGAGCAGCATTCTGCTCCCAACCAGGGCAGAAAGGGAAGAGAGGGAACAAGAATTTACCTTAAGCGATGGTAATCTGCCATGGGGTATTTTGCAGTCCGCAGTTCAATCTCCAGATTCAAGAGAATGTACATTTTTTTAGTAGACAGCCAAGATGCTGTGTCTTTACACATGACCACTTTTTTTTTTCCCCCAGGAAAATCCTTTGCGTCTTCACAGACTTTTCCAAGAGAATGCCTTTCAGAACCGCTGTTGAATTACAAAGAAGTATTTATTGTAGGAGGTGATTAATGATTCTCGCTAAAATTGCTATTTGCAGCGTGATTTCATTTCTCTTTACAATGGGAGCAAACCAGGTTTATACACATAGGCTGCACACTAAAGAAATCCTGCACTGCCAGTTAATATGTTTCAGCTGGAATTTTGCTCAGTTGTGCTAATTTTGGCTCTAAATACATTAAGGGATTCTCAAGCAATAAACCAAATGAAGAGTTACACATTTGCAGATAGTAGTTACCTCACATACAGCTATATATTTTTTCCCTTTATAAGGAGACAATTGGCGACTCAGGATTTAGGAAACAGCAATGTGTGAGCAGAAATGCGCTTTTCAGGCCTGCTCCTTGGTCAGGTATGGGGACAGCCGTGTTTGCTGAGGGAGTTTACGACTGCCACCTCCCTGATGCTGAACGTGTTCTGCCAGTGGCACGTTACATTTTTCTCTGGGATGGTACTTATTCCATGGCTAGGCGGGGATGCTGGCACAACCTTTGGAGCCTGGTGCTACCTCAGCCAGGGGTGATGATGCCCTTAGTCCTGGCAGCCTCACTTATATGAAGACAAGATTCCAAGAATCCATCTTGTATGTATTTGGGTGAGTAAATAAATAAGTATTGGCCTTCAGGTGTTCCCTGGAAGATTTACTAACACTGGAGCTCCTTTTCAAGACTTTTCCTACCCAGCTCAGTGCTAGACCATGTTGTGAAAGCCCCAAGCAGGGCTCTCTGTTAGCAGCTCTGCTTTGCCTGGACTCCGTAGCTGCCTGGAAGCAGAAAGATGCATGGCCTGAGCTGGAACCAGTTGAATCCCATTTTGCCACGGTAGTTGTGACAATCTCAGTCAAAAAAGCCTTGTGAGTTGTATCCAAATTCATGTGTCTACCAAGGCTTTCTCCACACATTTCAAAATAATCTTAAAACCAAAAAAAAAAAAAAGGAAATTGAATCAGAAAAGGCAGCTTAAAAAGAAACTTCAGGTTACCGCTCATGTATTTCCCTTAAACAGTGCTAGTCAGCTAAGAAATCATAATCAGGCGAAAATGAATGAATAAACCACGACTGGCTAAAGATTTTAAATGTTATCACGGCATGGGAGCTTATTGGCTCCCAGAAGAAGCACAGTTTCTCTTGTCAGGCAGCTGAAAACAGTCGCACGGCCAGCGGTGGAGTCAGACTCATTCTGTCTAAGTCAGCTAAAGAGAGCACCACTCACCTATACAATGAAGCAAGACCTTTCCTCATCCTGCAACGCAATTTTTCCCAGCCAGGCAAGTAGGAGTCAGGATGTTTTTCACCACATTTAAAATAACCATTACCTTATTGACAAGATGAATCCAAGTCAAAACAATGCATTAAACTGTTGTTTTCCATTTCTGATGCCAACACCAGTCAAGCACAAGGTGGATGAAACAGCACGTAGTGGACTTGTGTTTCAAGCGTTTAATTCTTTTGTACAGAATAATCTTTATTACTAGCATTTGGCACTGTTATACATTACACCAAAAATCCACAAATTGTACATGGACCCAAACTATTTAGACGGTGCCAAATATGAAGACAGCAACAGCCTTTATAGCAATATTTCTTTAAATAAATGCAGTAGGGAATGTGGAGAAAAACTAATAGATCACAGCTACTGAGGGGGCTACACTTAAAACCAGTTAAGTTACCTTTGATACATAAAACATTTTCCTTTAGACAGCGTAAGGGGACTTTTTCATAAGTCTTTAACCTCTTGTGGACGTGTTTGTTCTCTCTCCCGTGTTGGTCTGTGTGTGTATACGTGCCTGTGCACCATCACACACACAAGCACGCACAGAGAAATCCATGAACACACCACAAAACAGCGCTATGCAAGTCAATGCCTTACACAAGTGTCTCACGAGCTCTTTGCTTTGTTTTAAATGTTATTTTTTTTTATTTTTAACGTGTTCCCTAAAAAAAAAAAAAAAAAAAAAAAAATAAGAAAAAAAAAAAGAAAAGAAAAAGAGTCCGTCTTAGGTACAGAGAATTCGTCCATGACAGCATCCAGCCCTCTCTTACACCGAGGGCAAGAGAGCGTTTCCATAAATAGAAAAAAATGATGGGCATGGAACCATTATCTATATACAATGTAGACAATCGTCCGGGTTTTGGTTTAAACATGTGCCCGTTCTTGGACACGTCTCGTCTTCCTTTTCTGCTCCTGTTTTGTTTTACACAGTTTGGTCCAAAAGGCCAGCCTCCACCTCGAGGCAGCTTGAAAACCCCAATAGATAGGTAAATATATATATATTAAAAAAAACCCAACAAAACAACAACAACGACAAAAAAAATGCCAACCAAACAAAAAAGGACCAAAAAGACTCAAACCAAAAACCGTATTTATAGCGCAGCTGCGTTGGGTGTAGCCCCATCGAGCGAATGGGGGTGGCCCTGTGTCTGTGCTTTGGACTGCTGGCTCAGTGTGGACTGGTTTGAGGAGCGCATCTTTGTGTTAGGCAGTTTATGGTCTTTCTTCCACTTCATGCGCCTGTTCTGGAACCAGATTTTGACCTGGCGCTCGGAGAGGCAGAGGGTGTGTGCGATCTCGATGCGTCGCCTTCTGGTCAGGTAGCGGTTGAAGTGAAACTCCTTCTCCAGCTCCAGGACCTGCTGTCTGGTGTAGGCAGTGCGAGATCTCTTGGGCTCCCCTCCGTTGTAATTGGGATTGACTGAAACGTGCACACACAGGCACACACATACACACGCGGAGGGGAAAGAAGGAGAGGGAAAGGGATGGAACATAATCATTATATAATAACTTGACATCGAGTTCACATAAGATACATAAACGGCAAGAAAAATTGTTTCCCAGCCTATCGACAGTGAGGACAATCGAGGAGCAATAAAAAATGGTGATGGGCATTTGGGTTAGAAGAAAAGCTTCAAAGACACATGGCCCAGAGCCACTGCAGGGCAATTAAATTTATGGGGGCTATAATTACTGCCCTAACAGTTTGGCGTCTCGTAAATCTTTTGATAAAGGACCCCGGATACAAAAGGTTTCTCACTTTTTTTTTTCCTTTTTTTTTTTTTTAAACTATTAGGAAACGCGGAGGGAGAAGGAGGGAAAAAAAAAGCCACACACGCAACGACCCATCCCGGTCCCGAGAGCACCCTCCCCCCTTCCCTCCTCTGCAGGCGCATCCCCACCTCCCCCTGGCAAGGGCAACTCACCCGTGCTCACATGGATCTTCTTCATCCAGGGGTAGACCACCGGCTCCTTCCCCTTCAACCCGGGCAGGCTCTTGTCGGGCAGCAGCGGGCAGGCGGGCCCGGTGCCGGCCCCGGCGGCGGGGGCTGCTTCGCAGCGGCGCTGCAGGGCATGGCCTGGGAGCAGGGGCTGGGGCGGGCCGGGGTGGCCCTGTG